AGGAGTATTGACCAAACTCAGAGACTGGAAGTATTGAGCAACTCTCAATAAAGCAAGAACACCTGATGATGGGATTGAACCCCTCAAACATGGACTATTTTTCTCATAAAATAAATGAATAAATAAAAATCAAAGTTTTTATCCTATAAAATAAAAGATAACACGTTTGCTTGCTGTGAAAAGCAAAATTGAAAAAAAGAAAAGAAAAAAAATGTCAGTCAAACAAGAGATGTAGTGAATAAAGAATGAAAGGGTCCACCACTGAGTAAAGAAAGTGGAGACAGGCCAGGAACTAGATTTCTTTTTATTTGGCCAGGGCATGATGTGTTACAATATCCTTGAAAAAAAGAGTGAAAGGTGTTGTGAGTGGATGCATGCCTCTGGCAGAAAACCTTATTTGTCATAGTCGTCTGAGAAGGAAATATAAAACATGTTAAAGTCTTTATTTATTTATTTTTTTTTTTTTTAGAGAAATAGCTTTTGAAAATTCAAAAGCTAATGGAATGAAATTGTTTTCTAAAAACAAAAACAAAGCTTTTTACTGAAAGTTCAGAGGTTATTATTGTTTTCAAAATGTTTTTAAAAAGGAGCCCAGAGCTGTGCCTGAAACATCATCAACACAATATGTCACAGTGTGTTTTAATTATAGTATATATATATATATTAAAATTTCTATTGAACAAGTAAATTTTGTACAATATCCTGTGGCAAGCAATTGTATTATCCAATCACGAACTAGATTAAATTGTGTGTCCCAAATTTACCTGAAGATGCTGTAGGGACTCAGATGGACGTGTGCCTTTGTCTTGAATAAAATAAATATTGTCCATACCTTCAGAATAAATTTTGGATAAGCCAAATCCATTTAGTGTCCATTTGCCATTGCTTAGCCCGGAAAGTACTGTGTAATTAAGAGGAATTTACAGAGTAACTTTCGGTAATTATATATAGTACTTGCATGTAAGTAAGGGAACAGTATGTATAGTTTGGGGAATAAAGCGGCAACAACCAGGAGAATTAAAAAAAAACTATTTAAACTAAGTATTTAAATTAAATTTAAACTAAGTATTTAAGTATAAAAAGTACTAACTATTTAAATGTAAGTATTAAAACTAAGGGATACTTATTCTACTATTATGGTATCTTACATTTGGGAGCAATTTAACATACACTCCGTACCTTTTTGTAATAATTGTGTACCAATACATACATGTAGGCCTTAAATCACAGGGTAGGAGGCAAGGCAAGAAAAGATAAGACTATTACAATTGTATTAAATGGGAAATATATCTTGTTTCATATCGTTACAGGGCGGCAGTGGCTCAGTGGTTCATGTGGGTTGTCTACGAACCGAAAGGTTGGTGGTTCAATCCTCGGTTCCACCTGGCCAAGTGTCGAGGTGTCCATGAGCAAGACACCTAACCCCAGCTGCTCCCGACGAGCTGGCTGGCGCCTTGCATGGCTGACACCGCCGTCGGTGTGTGAATGAGCGTATGAATGGGTGAATGTGAGGCAATATGTAAAGCGCTTTGGTGGCCATTATGTCTATGAAGGCGCTATATAAATGCAGTCCATTTACCATTTTACAGGGTAAGTGGTGCTTGTATAATTAATAAAGGTTTCCGAGTCAATGATATAAGATGTGTATGCATTGTAACATGGAACAAGAGCGTAACAAACACCACTTTAATTTACAGCCTGTCACTTACCCTGTAATAGAACAAGGGGATAACAAACCTGAAACAAGAGTATCTTTCCCGAATATTTAAGCAAACGTTGCAATAGTTTTCATTTACAGTGCACTTTTGTTGAAAAGATTACTTTATAAATGAATATGTCCCTGTAATTTTTTAAAAGCTTGTATTATTGGTACACAATTATTTCAAAAAGGTACGCAGTGTATGTTCTTGCTAAATTGCTCCCAAATGTAAGTTTGTTATATCATAATAAGTACCCCTTAGTTCTATCTATAATAATAAAAAAAATGTATGTATATATATATATATATATATATATATATATATATATATATAAATTCTCTTGGTTGTTATACAACTTTATTCCCAAACTTAAAATTGTGTTTCCTTATACTTATACACTATACTTATACACTCTAATTACTGAAAGTTACACTGTAAAATTGCTTTAATTACTTTCATTAAAAAAGTGATTTCATTTCACTAAAATATCTGATTCAAAACATACTGTTAGGCATGATCATAGTCTTGCACAATCCAACTCTCACCAAGTCACGGTCAAAAAGTGTGTTGACCTTCAATTAGCGCACCAGTAACCCATTATCACCTCAAAATTATACTCAAAATACTCATACGCCCTCTAGTGTCACAAACGAAAAATATAATTCAAAATAAGCTCCAACAACGGTCGGCTATAGAATAAAAATGGGTTCTATTCAGTTTTTAATCTTTGTATATTTTTTAAAAAAACACCCATATTCCTTCAAACAACCATAGATGGATATTCAAGACACCTTGAGCATTTGTTTAAAACTTTAAAAGTGTAGGTAGAATATATTTGTATTTAATACACAGTTTACCAAAAAAGTGTGCCAATTTTGCTGACTTCACCCTATCTAATAAATTAAAATAGTAGCTGTAAACAAAGTAGGCTAATTTACATTTTCTGCCAATAAAAATGTAGCTGAGAAGCTCTAACATGGACCAGACTCTTTTCTGCTTCTCTTTATAATAAGTGTTTTGCTGTCCTCTGCTGGAGGAATCATGCATTGCAATATTAAACACAGCTACAAATGTGTTGAATATTAAGGCATATGAATATAGGTGGAAAAGAAAGAAATGTTTATTTACAGATGTGATATGAAACTTGTCTGTTTATTGCACACAACCATTCCAGTTTATTTAACAATTTATTAACTACTGTTAAGTGTGCTATTGGTTAGAACATAATAACAGTATAAAATACACTTGATATTATACACAGTTGATCAAAAATCAACTTTAAAATGTTCCGTTTAATATGATTTATATATTTATAACAAAGATCAAGTATTTTGTGTTTGAACTGCTTCAGTAGTGAGCAGTCAGTCATCAGGTGTGTAAGTTGTGTGTGTAGATACAGGCTTTGATGCTGAATATAACCTGCAGTGTTTCTCTATCAATCTCCTGTAAGTTTAGTGTGACTTTCTCTCCACGCTGACACATGACTGACACGAGTCTGTCCTCAGTGAAGTGTCTCTTCACACTGGAGGAGGAGTCCCGCTCATCAGCGCTCACACTTTATTGATATATATGGAGAAAATAAAAATGCTGCTTTGTGATTTGTCAGTGATTATGTTTGATGATTTCCTCTGTTGTGTCTAATAAGGTAACAGTGAGTGTCATTGGCAGCTGTGAGAGTCTCTCTCTCTTTAGGGGACTGACAGGAACCAGTTTCTTCAGTGTGTGTGTGTGTGTGTGAGGGAGCAGAGGAGAAACAGAGTCAGACAAACAGTGTGACGAGCAGAAGAAGATGGAGGGATTTCTGACACTCGTTTTACTCTCCTCTATAGTCACTATAAACACATCTGGTAAGTACAACCAGGTTTGTCTATGATGGCATTAGACCACTAAAAACTGAAGCAGAATATTATAAATAGAAGCATTTGTAATATCTAGAAACTAAAGATCTTGTGACACTATATCATTAATTATCAATTACATTTTACAAATGATTTGAGCTTTTACAGGCAAACAATTTGTTATACACTCGTGCGTGTCCAGCTTTAAAATATTAAATTTATATTTACCTTTTACATCTTAGATTTTGAGACTGTGAGGTTGGTTGGTGGGAACAGTCCGTGTGCTGGTACAGTGGAGGTTCATCATGGAGGTCAGTGGGGAACAGTATGTCATTACAACTGGGATAAGACTGATGCTGGAGTGGTGTGTAGAGAGATAGGATGTGGAGAGGATGGAGAGGCTGTGCGTTATGCTCGCTTTGGACAAGGTTCAGGACCAATCTGGATGTATGATGTGCGCTGTAGTGGATCAGAGTCAACACTGAAGAACTGTGGATCAAGAGGATGGGGTGTTTTTCCTTCTTACTGTAGTACTCATCAATATGATGCTGGAGTCATTTGCGCAGGTGAGCGGCTCCATACATCACTCTATTAATGCATCACTGATCAGACTTTCATTGATAAACATCTTATAAGAAATTTAAAATAATTGAATGGATTTTTTTGTTAGAGCAAATCATACGCAGCTAATTGATGAATAGAACATTTTATTTCTTAACAACTCAATTGTATCTATTTATAAAAAATATTACTAATGAAAGGACTTCTGTTTTATTTTCATATCATAATCATTATGACAGATTGTCTTCTCTTTTGTGTAAATATATTCAGAAATAATAAACTACGGAAGGTCAAGACTTGTGGACGGGTCTCACTTGTGTTCTGGAAGAGTGGAGATGCTTCTTGTTGGAGGCTGGGGTTCAGTGTGTGACGCTGCCTTTGACCAGCAGGATGCAGAGGTTGTGTGTAGAGAGCTGGACTGTGGGGCTCCTGTACAGGTGCTGGGAGAAGATGCTTTTGGAAAAGGAAATGGTCTGATTGGATCAAAAGAGATTCAGTGCAGAGGAAATGAAGCACACATTCGACTCTGTCCATCATCAACCTCAAATAACACAAACTGCACCCATGACAATGATATAGGACTGATATGTTCTGGTAAAATGTCAATGTTCATCATTTCAATAGAGAAATCAAATTGGTAACTAAAATGTAATTATCGTTTGATTGGTTTCTTTTTGTTTGATCAGTTTCAGTAAGCTCTCTGTTATTTGTCCAGGTTACACTGATCTCAGACTGGTCAATGGTCCTGACATCTGTTCTGGTCGAGTTGAACGTCAGTTCTTCAATAAATGGGACACAGTGTCTGATGCATGCTGGGATATGAGAGCTGCCAGTGTCCTCTGTAGACAGCTGAATTGTGGGATTGCTGTGTCTGTTGTGGGATCAGACTGGTTTGGAGAGGGAAGTGGTGAAATCTGGGCTGATGTGTTTGATTGTGACGGGAATGAAACAAAACTCTCAGAATGTTCCGTCTCTTCATGGAGTCGAGCTGTATGTCCTCAGCATTTTGGAGTGATCTGCTCTAGTGAGTCCATATTACTAGAAGACTTCATTGATTTCTTGCTCTTGAAAGACTCAATTATACCTATAAATGCTATATTTCAGTTCTCTTCAGTTCTCATGTATAAATGTATTATTAATGTAAATCACATTACCAAACTTGCAAATAAAACATAAGATCATCTCTCTAGATTCCTCTCTGTCTGTTCATGACGGTCTGGTGCGGTTGTCTGGAGAGAGACAGTGTGAGGGGGAGCTGGAAGTTTCCATCCATCAGGTCTGGAGGAGAGTTCTGCTGGACTCCTGGAGTCTCACTGAATCCTCTGTGGTCTGCAGACAGCTGGGCTGTGGCTCTGTGCTGAACTTCTCCGGCTCCTCTTCATCCAGTCCTGAACACAGTCATGAGTGTGTGACGGGCTTCCAGTGCTCTGGGAGTGAAGCTCATCTGGGGAACTGCAGCTCTCCACAAACTCTCAACTGCAGCTCCACACAACAGCTGTCAATCTCCTGCCTTGGTGAGCACAACAACATCTGGGCAGATTCTTCAGTTGTTGGTGATCAATAATGTGTTTTTCTCTCTCTGAATATCAGGCCGCGGGTCCATCAGGCTGGTGGGTTCTGGGGGAGACTGTGCAGGGAGGCTGGAGGTTTTTCACAGCGGCTCATGGGGGACAGTGTGTGATGACTCCTGGGATATTAAAGATGCCCATGTGGTGTGCAGACAGCTGCAGTGTGGAGTGGCCCTCAGTAACCAGCAGGTACCAGCCTGGTTTGGTCCTGGTTCTGGACACATATGGCTGGATGAGGTGGAGTGTGAGGGGAATGAGACGTCCCTGTGGAACTGCTCTTCTCCAGGCTGGGGGAAACATGACTGTCAACACAAGGAGGATGTAGGAGTCGTGTGCTCAGGTGAACAGTAAAGTAATGTGATTTATTTTTAAATAAATAATTTCAAATGTTTAAAGGAATAATGTACGGCTGGTAATTTTTGCTAAATAAACACCAGGACCATCGTGGATGGGTCACATTTTACAACAAAGACCATCTTACTGTATCGATTGTCTGCTAAACATGGATGTCGGTACTTTTTAAATATTTTTTATTGACCAAGCAGAATCAAGTAGTACATAAGATTCACGATATATTATACAAATATAATTAAGTATCTTTTTCAGACACTACCAGTGCTAGCATGCATTGTATTAACCAGTTATATTGGTGATGTTTCGGTTTAGCTCAACCTGAATTCCAATATTTATAAAGCATATCCTTTTCCATCTAGAGTTTAAAGAGATCAGGTTAACTGAGGGCTGTGAAGGGAATGTGGAGGTTTTCTACAATGGATCCTGGGGTAATGTGTGCTGGAACCAGATGAACTCGGACACAGCGAGTCTGATCTGTCAAGAGCTGAACTGTGGAAGATCTGGTGTTGTGTCTGATTCTACACCAAGACTGGAATCAGCTCGTAACTGGCTGGATAAAGTAAAATGTCGACCTCGTGATTCAAATCTGTGGCAGTGTCCGTCTTCACCCTGGGGACAGAACTACTGTAGTAAAGATGAAGTGGCCAAAATCACCTGCTCAGGTGAGATTATGTTTAAATAATGTAAGATAGTCTCACTGGTTATGTTTCTTTAAACATAACATTTGTATATAATGTGGTGAATAAACCATGTTTCTGATGGATAGAGCCTTAAATGATTAATGAGGCTTAAATTATGTTTTCACATTGATATGTTTTACTGAGTGAAGATATATTTTTTGTGTCCTGATGTTCAGTCCTCTTAATATTTTATCTCAGCGGAAGTGAATCCTGAGTCTCCTCAGAGTCGTCTGAAATGTTCCACCTCACCATCTCCTCACCAGAGACAGTGTTCAAGTAAGATTTTCAGGTAACGCTTCCTTTTACAGTCCAGTTACCCATGTAAATACTTATTTTACTGGGTAATAACTAGTACTAACCCTAAACCTACCCCTGTTCCATGTACTTACATTATATTAGCCAGTACTTTCTAGGTAAGTACACTGTAAGTACTGTACTGTAAAAGGAAGCGTAACTGATTTTTATTTTAAGATTGTTGTAATTGTGCATTTAAACAAGAATTTATAATCAATCAAACTCAAATTCATAAATGCAATCCACTAATCATACATTTAAAGCCGTCTTAAGTTTCTGTGTTTTGTTGTAAATGTGCTGAAGCTGATCAGTGATGTTGCTGTGTGTGTTTTAGAGCATGTTCCTCTCAGACTGAGTGGAGGTTTGGGCCGGTGCTCTGGGAGGCTGGAGGTGTATCATAACGTTGTGTGGGGTTCAGTCTGTGCTGATCTGTGGGACATCAGCGATGCTCAGGTGGTCTGCAGGCAGCTGGGTTGTGGAGACGCACTGAGGGCTGATGGGAATTCAGTCTTTGGTGCTGGTGAAGGTGTTGTGTGGATGAACGGAGTCGAGTGCAGAGGGAATGAGATTCACCTGTGGGACTGTCCTCACTCCCTGAAGAACCACACTGACTGTTCCCACAAAGATCACGCTGGACTCACATGTGCAGGTCACAGCAACACACTGAACAATAGTAGTCATCATTTTATGCTAATAATCGTTGTGTATTTGCATGATTTTGAATGTGTTTGTGTGTGTTTTGTCAGATTTGTCAGTGTCCACTACTCCTGCCACAACATCATCTTCTCGTCCAGTTTCTCAGACAGTGCGCTCAACATCAGTCACTCCTCCACAAACTCCTCCAGCAGCGTCTCTCTCTGTGCTTGTGGTTGTACTGGGAGTTTTGCTCGTACTGCTCTTAGTGCCACTGCTTATACTGGTTCAGCAGAACAGAGTGATGAGGAGAGGTAGGAGAGATCCAGAGACTGTCATAGTGTGTCTTATTCAGTGTGTGATCAGTCATGTGTTGTGAACTGACAGCAGGTTTGTCTGTCTACACACACAGATCTCTCTAAGAGGAGACACAGGACGACGACTGAGGCCGTTTATGAGGAGATTCATCACAGACACAATCACTTCACTCAGAGAGGTGAGACATGACACATGAAACTTATTTAATATGATTAATAAGAGTCTGTCAGACACTTGATGTTCATCTATTATTAGTCCTGTTAAACCTCCTGATTCAAACCAGAGAATTCCTCTCAGAAAACCACAGAGCTGCAGGTGCATGTTTATGTGTGTGTGTCAGTGAGTGTCTCTTCCTGTGTGTATTTTGAAGGTAATAAAGAGGGGTTCATATGTTTGTAAGTGTGCAGGTGCGTGTGCGTGTGTTTGTTTCTTCCTGTGTGTATTTCTGGAAGGCAGTGAGGAATGGGTTCATGTGAGGATACATGAGTGTTTTCTAATAGGCCTAACAAAAACAAACAGAAACAAACATGAGATTTCTGAAAAATTAAGAGTTTTATGATCCAATGGAAATGAGGATTCAGTCTGTTTGTGATGATGGCATTTTTCTCTCCTTTAACAGGAAGTCTCGTCTCTGAAGAACTGCATTCTGGGTATGAAGATGCCGATGAGCTTCTCTCAGGTTAGACAGCAGAAGTGCATATTCATTCCATCCTAAATACTATTTCATTGAAATTAACCTAAATAAATAAATGTAACAAATTCTAAAAAATATTTGACTAATGACAATACCTTTTAAATACTGTTGTTTATTTATATATCAACAATCTGTTCTCCTTTTTAGCAAAAGATTTCAAGACAGTATATTATGATGATGTCACCAACAGCAGTGGCCTGAAAGGTCAGTGACCTTTTAAATGATCACATGATTTATTCCCAGAAGATTAATGTATTTGGTCTAATGACCTGCAACAAAAACATATTTGGGGTTTTGTATCCAAACATATTCTTTGTGTATATGTAGAAGACATGGTGAAGGAAATCACACCAGGATACTATGATGATGTCATCACTGATGGACTGAAACCAGATCGTGAGACAGGTGTCGTTCTGTTATTCTATAACGGCACATTGACATTCTTCAGCATATTAAAGTTATTTAAGTATATTAACAGATTTAAAAAGTATTTTGAATGTGATTAATGTGTGTTTGTGTGACATGTGTGATTTTGTAGAAGACACTCCTGAGAGCTATGATGACGTAATCACCAGTGGACAGGACTCTTTTATCAAAAAAGGTGTTTTTTAATTGTTTTTTAAATTCCTTTAAAGATAAACCTCATAACTAAAATTAATATTTTAAAATTACTCTCTTAATGTTTTTTTGGCTTCTATTTAACTTTTTGGGCTTATATTTGCACCTGTAGTTAACATGCTAGAGAATTATGATGATGTCATCATCAATGGACAGAGCTCGCAAATAGGTTGGTTGAACAGAACTACATTTTATTATCACCCTTACATGTTTACATGAGTATTAGACATGAGTTTTGTGTAATCAAGTCACTTAAAGGTAAAAATGATCCTTTAAATACGATAAAAGATGTGTCCCAATTCAGAGTCTGCATCCTTTAAAGGCCACAAAGGTCAAAACGAGCGTTGTTTAATGGGACAGTCTACAGGGGATTGTTCTTGTCTCTTATAGCAACTGTGACAGCTGACATTCAAAGGAAACAAAAGCATATTTGGAGGCCGCATTTGAAAGAGACAGTCTTCGTCGGGCTACAGTGACGCAATCGGCCTTCGAATGATGCAGACTCTGAATTGGGACGCAGCAAAAGTGTTTTATATTCTGATGTTTTTTATGTCATTGTTGATCAGAGGGAGAACAGGAGGACTATGATGATGTGATGAGTGTGAGTGAAGATGTGAGAAACCTGTTAGGTAAGTTATAGTATGTTTGCCAGATTAATAGACTCCATTCATTATATTTTTATCTGATTACAACATAAATAATAAACATAAAAGATTTTGTTTTTAATAACAGATTATGATGATGTGGAGGAGGAGTCAAAAAAAGAAGGGGGGCCATTCGGCTCAATGACCGCGGCAGTTCAAGAAATTTGAACACTTATACGTTTGATTGAAATTGCTATTAAATCTCAGGGGGGGTTTTTGTTTTGTTTTTTTGTATTTAAATGTATATGCCTCTGTGTGATTTTGTAGGATGCCTATTATGACAATAAGTAAAACAAACAACAATGCATTTTCTGCAAAATTACCAAAATAAACAAAAATGTTATGTAACAGCCTCACCATGGCGACAGCAGTAATTTTATGAATGGATAATGCTGATTTAAAAAAAAAAAAAAAAAACATTTTTGTTTTAATATTTTGGATATATTAAGTAACTTTTACAATAACCCTGTTAATTAATTGATCTGTATCATATATTATTATTTTATGTGTTCAGTCATGTTTTAACCATTAAATAAATATCCATATTGCTTGTGCTGGCCATTTTACTTTCAAATCCATTCTCAGGCTGTAGATGAATGAAATGTGAAGGCCAAGTATTGTTACCCATACTCTGAAATTTTCCTCTCCAATTTAGCGCACACACATTAATGAACACACACACTGCAAACTGTGGACACACATGCTCAGAGCAGTGGGCAGCCTTTTTTCTGTGGCGCCTGGTGAGTGATTGGGGGTTTGATGTTTTGCTCAAGGACACCTCACTCGTTTCCGGCCAGTAGGATATTAAGAATCAAACCCACAATATTTGGGTTCCAAGTCTGACCCTCTGACCATTAGGCGACGACTGCCCAACAAAGGGAAAGTGACATGTGAAGGTAAAGTATGGTAACCCATATATTTGGAGTCGGAATCTGTCCATCTGCCTTTAAACCATCCAAGTTAGTGCACACAGTTAAATACATTAGTTTGTTTTGTTATGTAGGCCTAAGTCAGCTATCTGTAACACGTGAATAAACCATATGAATAACTTTGCAATACCTTTAACACTATATATATATATATATATATATATATATATATATATATAATTATTATTATTATTATTACTTGTATTACTTGTATTAGTGTTGTCTTGTCATATAATGTGTTACCACCAGGGGGTGTGTAATTTAAATTCCGTGACAATAAAGGCAATAATATTAATAATAATAATAATAATAATACTCAACAAAAGAACAGAACCCCAGTGCAGTTCATAGCCGTTAAAAACTACAGACCGGAGAAAGGGATAACTTTTTCCAGTTTCATCTACAGAATTGTTGCAGCCATGAAACCACATGGTAACGTCATTCTGCTTTTTTGTACTTTTAGTTTTCTTTTGGTTAAAAATTGTCCTTATATGCATCTGCAAATGCAGATTTTGAACTTAATAAAGAGCTTCTTGATTACTGACAAACCTGTGTGGTTGCAGGTTTCGATTCAGTTGATATTTGTTTGTAAAGACAAACTTTTTTGTGTCTGGTTTTTCTCTGTGTTTTTTAATACCTCCAGATTCAGTGCGCAAGTTTTAATCATTCGATTCCTTTGTTTGTGCTAACCCGTTTAAACAATTAAGTGTGGAGAACCGACTCAAATAATTCATTTGGAGATCTCCAGTTGTGATTCTAAACAGTAGACTGAAAGAATATGACATAATTCCTGCAATATTTTTAGTTTATATTTTTAGTTCCGGCGATGTCCACATAGTCAGTTTATCTTAAAAGTTTAAAAGTTTAATTTTAAGTTTAGTTTAAAAAGTTTAACATAGTTTTAATTATATATTTTTATCGTATTTTAATAAAAACAAAACATAATTTACATACAGAAGGTCAAGGTCACCATAAGTCTGTCATCTCATAGTCGTTTTACTGCCACCCACAGGAATAGATCGGTATTGCGGAGCTGCAAAGTGCAAACTTGGTCTAGTATTCCTATTATGATATACTGGGTAAAGGCATATTTATTGTCTTTTTAAACACAGCAAAATCTTTTAAAAAAATGGTTTCTGTTTGTATCCAAAAAATATTTTTAAACATATATTTTTAAACATGGCACAAAGTGAGAAACATGAAGCAGTTAGTTATCAATGTTTGTATCTGCAAATGCTGCTTTGATGCTGTAAATAAACTGGAATGATTTCTGTGTGTGTGACTGTCACCCCTCTATCTGGCATGTTTCTCCCCAGTGAAGTGTCTCTAAGGTGGAGGAGGAGTCCTGTTCATCAGTGTTGACGTGCTTTTAATAAATATGGTGAGAATCATAAATACGTCTCCTGATTTGTCAGAGGAACTTTTTGATGATTTCCTCTCTTCTGTCTAATAAGGTAAAAGTGACTTTGATTGGCTTGTTGTTTGGTGATTGTAGAAACTTCTGTCTCTGTCTCTCTTGAACCTTTCACTTCTGAGTTGATCAAGCAGAGTGTAGATCAGTGAAGATGGAGAGCTATCTAACACTCATTATTTTGTCATCTGTGATCAGACTCGGCACAGCTGGTACGTACACACACTCAGAATCATTATGTGTGAGTTAATGTTGTTGATTGACTCTGTTTTAGTTATG